TGCTTAAGCCGTACCGGGATTCGACGTGGCGCCCCAAGGGGCTTGGCCACCCAGATGCCGAACCAGCAGATGGTTTTGAGCACGGAGTGCAACAATTTCCGTTTCCAGTGGCTCAAGGCGATCCACCTTCGCACGAAGTGACGTATTCGTCTGCTCGACGGCTAGTAGCCGCTCCAACGGAGCGCGGTAAACCTCAACATGCGTCAGTCGGTGCATAAAGTGCCTCAGGCTCTCGAGGTCTCCCGCACAGCGGTAGGCGACCTTGGAACGATGCTCAGCGGAGTGTCGATGACGAAGGGCTTTGTCCTCCAAAGCACGAAGAGTACCGCGAGTCATCGGACGGCGATCAACCAAGTTGTCATCGCCCGCCATCGACTCTTCCTCGATGAGAACGGTGTCGTTCGTAATCACGTGGAACGCCTTGTGGGTCAACGTCATCGACAGGGTCGAACCCTATGTCTTGTGAATTGGCGGGGATGCCTAAACTCCGAGAACTCGTTGGAGTTTGAGGTGCCACTTTGTAAGACTGCCCATACGTCGTTGACGCTAATGATCAGAAGGATCATTTTGCTTTGCGTCTTCATGCGCCCCACGCTACTCGGCAGTAGCCCGGGAAGCCGAAGGGTCATGCGCTGAGCTAAAGCTATGGCCCTGAGCTGCTGTGGTCGTACACTCACCCGTGTGAGAGACCACAGAGCTCGCGGGGGCTTGATGGATAACTTCATGTGTCTCTGGGCGACCATACACAGGAGGTCGGCGTGGCACCTTGAGTCTGGCAAACTCAAACCGCGGATGGAGTTCTACGCGCACGTCTACTTCCTTGTGGGTACGCTGTAAGGTATACGGCGAGAAAATTTGCCGGTGCCGCTGCATTCATCGCGGAAGGATCTCCTCATCACATGCAGAGGGTTTGACAGGGGTGAGACCACAGGAATAGTCGGCATTGCGGGTACAGAAGCACCTCCTCTTTAAGCTCGAAGTTGAGCGCTGTACCTATCCATTGGATTTTTTTGAGGCACCAAGAAGCGAGCTTGGAGAGCATTCCTCAGGTCAAGCTCAGTTTGTGTAGTGGTCGGGGGCCCGACTATGTAGACGCCTAACGATTGAGTATTTGCGTCTTTCGCTCCAGTAGCAGGATCCGCCGAGCAAAAGCCGTAATACAGACGATGGTCTAGGACTGAACGTGGTTACAAGCGCATGAGAGCCGCCCTGTGAGTAGCCTCCGCAGCCTCCAGCTGCTGCCCCTGTACCTCGTCGAGGCGATTGGTAATAATACCACTTCCCTAGAAGTCGAGAGGTCGGGGATCGGACACGGTGTTTGCAATGTTCGAGCAGGGCTATCATCGCGCCGTTGGCGCACCTCGCCTTTCTCTTCTTCCCATGCTGGGAAAGGAGTATCTGACTCGTAGTCAACCCCCTCCATATCCTCGAGGAGGAAATCCGTCGCCCATGGTGAGCGCGGTGTGTGGCGCTCGGTTGCCGGGGGCTTGGGATGGGCTTCCCGTGACGTACTGTCCGGAGTGCAGAAGAAGAAGGGCTCTGCCTGCGGGTTCCCTCGGAACCTGCAAGGTTGTGTGTTTTTCGAGACATAGACACAGCGCTTATTGAGCGAAAAATGTTCCAAGATGTTCACAAGGACGTGACGGTGTCTCAGACACGCGAGCCTAGTACGAGGCGACAGTTTGTGTAATCACACAATGGTGTGGCTACACCGTAATAAGGAGCCACTTCGTCACAGGACTACCAGTAGTTATGCATATTAATTAGGTTTTTCTATTTAAACAAGAAATCCTAAGGTTTCGAATATAGACAACTCTTCCCATTAAAAACAACTAGATACAGTTTCAGTTTAGAACAGAAGAGCGTCTGTACCTTGGTAAAGGTTTGAAGTACTCTCAGAGGTAGCGGATTTAGAATCGCTACGCTCGTACTTGGCTTGTATAGAACGTAAGGTCGGTGACCTTAGTTTAGCCTCCTTTAAGTATAGAGCTACGGCAACCCCGCTGCAGCAAACGATGCGTGTACCGGATGAGTGTCAGCGCAGGGTCACAATCCGCAAGCTCGACGGGACAGAGCTGTACCAAAGTCTGGGCTCCGGGTTTCTGGAGTGGAGTCGGACATTCATGCACCAATTCCAGTATGCGTAATTAGCGTGTGACTTTGACTGATCAGAAGACCTGAAGACCTACCTACTCCATTACTACTTGAATGGGACGGCCGAAGGGTACTATAACAAGCAGGTAGAGACTTGGTGGCGCCAGCTCCCGACGCTGGACCATGTTATGGAGCGACTTCACCAGACGTTTGAGAAGCCGATCACTACATCACAGTCAATGAGACTGTTTACGGCAAAGAAAGACACCAAGTGGACTTGACCTGAACCCTACCTATACTTGGCGGAAGTAAGCGATTTGTGCAAGGCCGTGACACGCAAATGCTCGACAACATTATCCACTATTCGTCGTGTGAGCTGCTCACTGTACTAATGGCAAAGTACGAAGCCAGACGCCTCGACTTCCTTGTTCAAGCTGAAGAGCTCGCGCATTTCGCACAGTCTGTCAAAAGTGATCCGAGAGGTCCTGCTTCGTCTGGAAAAGACGTCATTGCGTGTATCATTGAGAGAAAACCACGCGTCGAAACACGAGCGTGTTTTGGATGTGGCAATGTTGGGCACATTTTGGCTGCTTGCCCCCAACGGGAAGAAGAAGAAAACATGATGGTGCCAAGGGTGGCTGGAGGAGACAAGAAGAAGGCAGCTGTATACTACACCTTGTGTGCGCAGGATAGCGGCATTCAAGACAAGGTCTGCATTTTGGACAGCGCGTCGAGCCTGCATCTCGTGAACAACGCAGTACTAGATGCTCGCGAATATGAAGACCAGTGCTTAGTAGCTAACCCTCAGACTGCTGGTGGTGACTTGAATGGGACTGGCCCGCTCAAACCTTGTGGAAGCCGTGTTATTTTTCCGAACTATTACTCGAAGCAGAACGCTGCCAACCAGCGTTCTGCTTCGAGTAATGGCGCTCGCCAAGCCGAGCATTGTTCGCCTAATGAACGTCTACTACGCACCAATGCTAGCTTGCGACATATTGTCGTACGACAAGCTAGAGCCAAAGGATATGGACTCGAGTATACAAACGATCGGCGAGCAAACAGATCGCTCAGCACAGGTGACGTCGTTTGATGTGGCAATGCAAAACAATGCCCTTGTTGTAGAAGTGCAAACCAAACACGAAAGCATCAGCAAGGCTGGCTCCATCATTGCATCGATTACAAAGGTGATGAGCGCGGCAAAGACCTGCAGCGTGAAACACTCATGCATTTTCATCAGCGCTTCGGGTATCTTTTAGACGACACAATCGAGAGGATGGCGCTCGAGGCTGGTGCTCGAGGCTGACTCTGGAATTCAGCTCACGAACTGTCGACGCATGATGGGCATCACGTGCGCCCAGAATAGGCAAACCAAGATCGCGCAGTCAAAGAAAGACACGGGCGCGCACTCCCCGATCGATCACCGGTGGTGTGATCTGCTCGGACCTTAAGGAACCGATGACATCAAAGGACCGACTTGGGAATCGGTTCCTCGTTAACTTTGTCGATCATAAGAGCAATTACAACCGCGTATTCCTAGCGCGCATCAAAAGCCAAGTTGCGAAAAGTTTCACGAAATTCTTGGCGTTATTTGAGAATTGCTTCGACTGTCGTATTTATGTACTACGCGCAGATGTGGACGGTAAATATCGAAACATCGATTTTTTTACAAGTCTGTAGGCGTGTCGCGGCGGGTGAGCGATGCAAGGAATCAAGCATCAAACGGCTAGGCAGAACGCATGCATCGGACCGTTCTAAACATGGCGCGCTATATAATTTTTTGCAAGCAAGATCCCGTTGAATTTTGGGAGGATGCGGTGGAGTACTCGGCCTACATATTGATATGCAGTTCCACGAGCTCAAATGTCAACCAATCCTCACCAATCGAGGTGCTAATAAGTCAAGCACCCAACCTTCGTGACATAGCCGCTTTCGGCTCAGTGTGCAGTAGTACTTCGTTACCCGAAGAAGAATTTTTTTGCACATAGACCGCAGATTGGTATATTCGTGGTTTGCAGCGACGAGACCAAGGGGTATCGCGCGTTCATACGGAAGGACAATGTCGTGATCGTGATCCAAAACTTCAAGAATATCAAGGCACCCTTCGATAAGCAAAGCGAAAAGGTATGCTATGAAGCAGGAGCTGAGGAGGAGACGCCGTCGGTTATCGAGGTCGTTTCAAAAGCAAAAGGCAAGATCGATTAGCAGTCGTATGTATGGGCGTCACATGTCACACGAGGGGCTGCCAAGTGAGCGGCACAAGACACTAATTAAGTGACAAGTGATGTAGCAGCTGTTATGAAAGTTTACGAGGCTAATTCAAAGACACACGCTGAGGCAATGCGCAGCTTGTAAGCTGAATGCTGAAAAAAGGCAATGCTCAAGGAGATCCTAGCTCTTGAAAATAACGACATCTGCAATGGTGGTGATCAAGCGACCGGCCGGGACCAGCATTTTGCACAGTAAATGGGTATTGAAGACTAAAACGGATGCAAACGGCGTGGTAGGGCGTCTGAGGAGTCTTCTATTCTCAACCAAAATGAAGACAAAAGGAACGGTTCTTTCTTTGGCGTCGGACCAACAACCGTGATGATCCGACCATGCCTATCGCACCCAAGCTTGACTCTTGGTGGTCATTTGTTCGCCTTGAGAACGAGAACAAGACGGAGCATCTGCTTCGCCGAGTCGGCGTTGACAGGACTCCCAGTCATGACCGAGCATAACCAAGCTCTGGTCGTCCCAGTGGTGCCTCTAGCAGCACTACAAGTGATTCTCGTAACTGCGGTAAACGTCGGGGACATCAGACTCGATGGCCTGACGAGGTTTCCACGTGTCCGAGTCCGATGGATAGCCGCGCTACCGAGCTCTGTAGAAGCATTGATGGCTCAATTACTTCTTTTCACGATGACAATTCGATCGATCCTCGTGATCGACATACATCTCAACCACTAAGAGACAGATTCTAGTAGCTAATGTAGGGTTGAACGTGGAACGATTGGGAGACTCTGGGAGTGGCAGATTTAGGCAAGGCAGCAGCGTTGCTCGACGCTTGAAGATCACTGCGAGATCCTTTCGAGCCTTGTTGCAGAGCAGAACTCGAAACTCGACGTTCTGACTGATCGTTCCGCTCAATGCTCGGCTTTGGAGTCCGTTTTGAGCTACGGTTTCGACAGGTCTATGATTAACTTGTTCGACCCCAGAATAACGAGAAGCCTAATGAGTTGTCTCACGAACACCGGTTGCACTCTGTTGAAGAGGCAGGCTCTGTTCTCGAGGTACTTCGTGTTGAGTATGTTGAGTATCATTTTAGCCTTAAAGCGTTGGAATCAGTATAGGAGCATTTCTTTGATGTCCGTCAACGATTGTACGCCGAGATGAATCTCCAGGGTAAGGATTTGGTTGCTATTCGTGGACAAAAGGAGAATTTTCATAACCATCTCGATCATGTATAGTAGGATCGGTAGATCCACTCGGAAGATACGACTTTAGCCTACCAGCATAAAGTGTAGGATGTAGGCGCATGCGCGTCGGGATGGCTAATGTATACGCATCACCATTGCGTCAGGTCCAATGAATCTTGGCAAAAAATTCGTGTCATCCAAGTTGGTCACTGCATGTTCAGATAGATCAGATTTGTCGTGCTAAGTAGTACAAGAGAATTTACCTTATATACCCTCTTGTTCTTTCGATCCTGTGCTTTCGCAATTGCGTATCGAACAAACCAAACGATGGCTTGATTCTTCACAATAAAGTCATCGACGTGCTGTTTCTCACGACGAGTCATGTCGTATAGGGGTCTCATTGAGTCAAAATTCGCTTTTAACTCTGTGACAGCGTTTAGGTCTGACTGTGGCTCGATAGTCATAGCCCCCCCCACATAATGTAGATACCTCGCCCATTAGGGAAACATGTACTCTAATCTAGGATGAATACCATAGTTCACATTAAATGACGAATGACTTGTCAAGACATGCGTGGAGTTGTTCAAGGCAAACTCTGCAAAAGGAAGAAATTTGCTCCACTCATTGAACGACGTAGCGTGACTATGCAGTACGTCCTCCGGGACTCAATCCTCACGCTCAGTTTGACCGTCCGTTTCAGGGTGTGCCGCCATTGACGTGGACAATTTGATACCCAGTACTCCAAAATGTGCACGCCAAAATTCCGACGTAAATCGGGTATCACGGGTAGACACGATCTCAACAGGAAGGCGCTGAAGACGAAAAATGATGTCTACAGAGACTTGAGTTGTCTTCTCGGCAAAACTTTTGTCCGAAACAGGCGCAAGATCAACCATCTCGCTGAGCCGGCCCACTAACACATGGATGCCACGGCGTCCATGTGTGTCACGTGGAAATCCGAATATGTAGTCCATACTCGCAGACTTTTAGCTGTCAGTGGTACTGCCAACGATTTAAGTAGGGTCTGAGTGGCTGCTATGGTCTTACTCTCTGGCAAATCCCACCAATTCTCACATACTTGCACACCCACTTGTACATGTATGGTTAATATTTACCCACGGAAAGACTGAAAAATGTATTTTCACGTCCAAGATGGCCACCTGGAGGACTGTCATGGTACTCATATAAGAGACAATAACGCAAACCTTCGTCATTTGAAACAACAACTCTTGCTGTATCCCGTGTTCAACCGCATAGTACAACAATCCATCGTGTGAATGGTGAACACGCGATCTTGTGCGAGACGAAAGATCTTGCATCGCATTGTCGGAGGGGTCATTGAATTACCTCACAAGTCCTAAAATGTCTCATCAGACTTGTACCCTTCGACAATTTCATCACGAACTGTGTCGTATCTTGCACTCTGATCGTCCGACCATATTCGCATTGTCAATAGACCCGTGTATATTTTCGCTTCTGGACTTTGGATCATATTCCGGGAGTCTTGATAACGCATCGACTAAGATGTTCGTCTTGCCTGGCTTGTAGTGCACAACAAAGTTGTATCCTGCAAAGAAGGAAAACCATCGAGCCATTCTTTGCAATCGATGAGGAGTCTTTTACTGCCGTACGCAGTGGGGCATGATCGCATGATCTGTATAGATCGCAAAGCTCTCCTCTCCAAGCCAATTCGCACAGAAGTTAACCAAAGCATACTTTATTGCTTGAAACTCTGTGTCATAAACTGGACAGTCTTGTTCCGCAGGCCGGACTTGTCGCGACTGATACGAAACAACTCGCTCTTGACCCTCATTATCGTGTTGCATCAACGCACAACCGATGGCATAATCGCTTGCATCACATACTACATGAAAAGGCTTTTCGTGGTTTGCAATAAAACAGGAGCTTCTCTCAAGCTCTTTTCACTTTGGCAAATACCGCCTGGTAAACTTTTGACAACTCCCACTCAACGTTCTTCTCTAAAAGAGTCATTAGGTTGCATCAACGCTGCATAATTGAGCGTGTATTTTTGCAAAAAATTGGCCAAGCCCAACCATTGTCTCAGCTGTTCCAAATTGTTTGGCACATGCCAACCATGGATAGCTTTGACTTTCTTCGAGTCCACGAACGCCATTCTTGCCCACAAAGCAGCCAAGAACGAAGATCTCTGGTGCAAAGATAATCCACTTTCTTAAAAGTATCGTAGAGTTCATTCTCTTGTATTACCTGGAAGCCTTGACGAAGATGATCAAGATGAACATCGAGATCAGAATTTTCACCCGTTATCTTGCAATGAGCGAAATCGTCAAAGGAACTCGGTGCCAACTCTCTAAATGAACAAGAACATTAGTGGCTATTCTGTTGAAAGTCGTGGGAGCGTTCTTCAATCCTGTTGGTATCACTAATCATTCCCACAGTATACCACTGGGGGGTAGTGACTGCAGTTAGTGGCGCATCATCCTTGCGCATTCGTATCTGATAAAAACCATCTTTCAGATCGATCGCACTGAAATTAGTACTGCCAACCATTTAACCAAGAATCATAGCCCTGGTTGTAACCGGAGTCCGAGCAGGTATGGTCACATTAATCAATTTGTTAAAAGCGTGAACAATACGCCAACCACCTGTGGCTTTCCATACACAGAATGTTGGATTCCAATGCGGAAAACTACTCTCACGCGCATGACTAGCC